CTATCTGCTATCTGTCTATCCATCCATCCATCCATCCATCCATCCATCCATCCATCCATCCATCTATCTATCCGTCTGTCTATCTGTCTGTCTGTCTGTCCGTCCATCCGTGGTATGCTGAGCATTTAACAGAAGTCTGAGGAATCAGAGATTTGGTTGATGCGAGGGTTTTAAACCCTGAACCTGCGACTTAAATCTGATTGGTTGTGAGAAATGTTGTTCATTAAATCCAGCAGGCGCATTTTCTACATAAGAAGAAGCATTTCCAGCAGCACGAGTGAGACGTCACAAATGTCCCTGCAGAATAACATGTGTCTCCTCTCAGGACTCCCATTAGATCCTCATTAATAAATGAGGATGCAGGAATGGGTTTCCGTGGAAACCCTGTTGTGATGGGGGGGCAATTATCAGATGCTCTTCTGCTCTTTAGTCTCACGCTGTGACTCATCTGAGGAGATTATGGCAGTCGTGCATCATCCAGAAGCGTTTAGGAGCTCGAAAAGCTTTGATGATGAAGGTTGAGCAAGACAAACTATTCCATCATCATTGTGCCAAGTTTTCAGCCCTTGAGTCTCTTTGGGTTAAAGCTGACTTCCTGCAGATATATAGAGGCTGTGTTCACGAAGAAACTGTGATGATCTTCTGTGTCTCTGCAGGGTGATCAATGCAGGTAAAAGTGCCCTAAATGAGGACCAGGCGTGCTGTGAGGTGGTAGAGCTCAAGAAAAGACCCGCAGACCCATCCAGCCCCAGCTACACGCCCACCAGGAGACGCTCCTCGCTGCCCAGCGCAGACATCCTGGAGTGCATCGACAGCACAGTGAGGCGTCTGCCACGGCTCTTATTCATGTGTTTTCAGACATGTCCATGGACCCTTTTCACAAGACTGTGTTGACGCATTTAACGGTCATCAGCATCGTAAATCCTCGAAAGTTTTTTTTTAAATGTATCTACATTTATAACACTATTCTTTGTATTATATCACCTTTGCATCAAATTACAAAAAACAGTTAACGCTAATGCGAGGGTGTTTCTAATGCAGCGTCTATGGGAGGGACGGTAAATTTCGTTCTCTCTTCTGACTGCCGTTATCAGTCTCAATTTTTTTCGATTTACCCATCTATGATGACTTCCGCTGCTGAGAAACCCGGAAATGTGAAAAGGGTCCATTGTGCCTCATTTGTGTTGATTTTAAAGGAACCGTCATAACTCTGTCATCATTTACTCACCCTGATGTGGTGCCAAACTAGGGCTGCCCGATACGGGAAAAAATTACATTGCAATATTGAGTTTTTCTGTGATTATACTGTATATTGTCTATCTATCCATCCATTCATACATCCATCCATCCATCCCTTTTTATCCATCCATCGCTTTTTATCTATCCATCCATCCATCCCTTTTTATCTATCTATATATCTATCCATCCATCCATCCATCCATCTATCATCCCTTTTTATCTATCCATCTATCCATCCCTTTTTATCTATCCATCCATCCATCCATCCCTTTTTATCCATCCATCCATCCATCTATCCATCCATCCCTTTTTATCCATCCATCCATCCATCCATCGCTTTTTATCCATCCATCCCTTTTTATCTATCCATCCATCCATCCCTTTTTATCTATCCATCCATCCATCCATCCATCCTTTTTTATCTATCTATCTATCTATCTATCTATCTATCTATCTATCTATGTTCTTTATTTTTAAATGGTAAACCATAGAGCTTTTATTTTGACGGGTTGCTGGTGAATGAAGATATGCGCTGCCAGTTTCAGAATGAAGCGCAACTGAAATCAAACTATCATAAACCACACGTGTAAATGCTGAGCTTCATGCATATATTTATTTAAATCACAGCCTGTCGCTCACACTAAGCCATATCCTGATATAAGTTTAATTTTTATATATTGTGCAGCCCTATTCCAAACCCACGAGACTTTAGTTAATCTTCAAAATGCAAATGTAGTATATTTTTAATGAAACCTGCGAGGTTGAAAGTCCAAAACTTAGACGATCCAAAAAGGTCAAGGCGAATCCATATGAATCAAGCTGTTTAATCTATGTTTTCATAGTTTCATCAGTAAATAATGTGAGGCTTTAAATTTATCAAGAAGCGTAGGCTGGGATATTACAGGTCAATATTATTTTTCTTGGCTTATGTCAATGTTAACAGAAAGACATAAATTAAAAAAAAAAACAATTGAAAATTTTTGCTAGAATGATATGCATAAATGTGATTAATCATGCAAAAAAAACAAGTCGAACCCTTGTGAAAAACAAGTACATTTTGGCATACTTTTAAAAAGAGGACTTAAGGAAATGAGACACTTTTTACGGTTTAATTGCATGTTAAATGCAACTTAGTGAAAATGTTTAAATATATATTGAATGCAGTTAGCTGAACTTTAGAGCGTTTTCTTGAACCACTTCAGTGTAGTTTTATAATTGTTTTTGAAATATGGTTAAAGTACTGATGAACGTGCATTTATGGTAAACTAAAATACACTTTAATGCCATTTCTATTCAAACTTGTATGTCATGCATTTAGTAATATTTGTATTTACACATTTGTGATGAAGTTGCAAATTGGTACACTTAAAATATATTAACTTTAAATGTACTAACAAATGTGACCCTGGAGCACAAAGCCAGTCATAAGGGTCAATTTTTTGAAATTGAGATCTATACATCATCTAAAAGCTGAATAAATAGCTTTCCATTGATGTATGGTTTGTTAGGATAGGACAATATTTGGCTGAGATACAACTATTTGAAAATCTGGAATATGAGGGTGCAAAAAAATCTAAATATTGAGAAAATCATCTTTAAAGTTGTCCAAATGAAGTTCTTAGCGATGCATATTACTAATCAAAAATTAAGTTTTGATATATTTACAGTAGGAAACTTACAAAACATCTTAATGGAACATGATCTTTACTTAATATCCTAATGATTTTTGGCATAAAAGAGAAATGTATAATTCTGACCCATACAATGTATTGTTGGCTATTGCTACAAATATACCCCAGCGACTTCAGACTGCTTTTGTGCTGCAGGGCCACAAATAACAAAATATAATCAAGTCTTTTCCATGTGCTTTAGTATGTTAGTCAACACATCAAAATAAGTGCATTTTTAAAAGATTAAAACATAATGTGCACTTTTTAAAAGTGTGTTGAGAAAATCTGGCTTTCGTGTGTTTTTAAAACACATTTTTCTAGACGGTCGCTGCGCATGTTGATGTTTCCACGAATGTGTGCGTGCAGGAGGTGAAGGAACAGAACTTCCACTACTGGGCTCTGTTTGACGGTCACGGCGGCTCCGGAGCCGCGGTTTTCGCAGCCAAGTTCCTCCACCTCCACATCGAGGAGCAGCTGCAGGAGGTGCTGGAGATCCTGCAGAACCCGTCTCTGCAGCCACCCACCTGTCTCGGCGAGGAGAACCCCATCCACCAACTCCACCCGTCTGCCGGCTGCTCCCAGCGAGGCCTGTCACGGGCCGCGTCGCTCAGAGGGGCCGCCGGGGCCCCGGGGTCCCCTAATACAATGGCCCCGCGGTTCTTCATGGAGAAGAAGATCAAACAGGAGAGTCTGGTGGTGGGAGCAATAGAGAATGCCTTTAAGGAGATGGTGAGTCCTTGGATCAGTCACTGTAGTAAACTCACATGGCCACTAGAGGGCAGGCGGAGCTTGTGCTGATTTAAAATTCTACTTTGCATCGCTGGAATAAATTACATTTCAAAATATATTCAGATAGAAAACAGTTGTTTTAAATTGTAAAAATATTTCACAATTTTACTGTATTTTTAATCAAATAAATGCAGCCTTGGGTGAGCATAAATGAAGTCTGGTGAGCATGTGTTTTACACTTAAATGTCGACTGAATCCAGTCTCATGTGGGTTTTACTGAGCTTGATTGAGTTCTCTGTGTGCTCGTGTGTTCTCAGGACGCTCATATTTCTCGAGAGAGGATGGTTTACTCTATATCTGGAGGGTGTACTGCTTTAGTGGTGGTGTATTTACTTGGAAAACTGTATGTGGCCAATGCCGGTGACAGCAGGTGAGACTGAATATTACCAAACCACATCACATACCACATTTATTCTCATGTAAGAGAGCTTCTGTCTAGGTGAAAGATATAGCAGGGTTTCTGCGGGTTTTTAAAAAGTCTTAATTCACCCTTCCACTAATTAAGGCTTAAAAAGGTCTTAAATCACAGCAGGAAGTCTTAAAATCATAATGGCATTAAATGTTGCATGCATTGCAACAAATAAACATCCTCCTCAGCAGTTTTGTTTTTCAGTACAGATATCTAAGCATCCTTAAATAAAGATGCATTTACTTGAGATGCAAATTGAACGTAAAGTCTTGGTTTCTGAGAAATTGAACAACATTAAGTGAGTTTGTTTAAAACAAATACTGTCAGTGGGGGATGAAAAGTCGATTTCCCTTTGAATTAAGCTCACTGGAAGATATGTGTTCATTTTAATCATAAACTTCATTTCAATCATAACTTTTTGATCAATTTCTTAGAAAACAAGACTTCTTATCTTAAGTAATTTTGCTTGTCAAGTGAATGTATCTTGATTTAAGAATATTTTTCTACATTTGCACTGGGGAAAAAAAGAACTGTTTTGCATCTGAAGCTACAATAAAAGTTATTTCCATATTCTAATGTTTGTGAGCAGAGATATTCAAGCCTTAAACTTTTTTTTTTTTTGTAAAAATTAATGAAAAAGTTGGAAATTGTGTTTTTTTTAAAATTAGCATTACTAATACAATATATTTACATATTCAATACCATATTGACGTATTGTGTTTCCTTCAGTTTTCCTTAAATTGACTTTATTTGGTCATAAAAAGCTCTTAACAAGTCTTAAATTTACCTTCATAAACCCTGGACAGGAATGACATATATTAATAATAATTGCAATAATGCATATGCTACCGTTCAAAAGTTTGTGGTCAGTAATACTTTTATTCAGCAAGGACGCATTATTAATTCATATTCAAAAGTGACAGTAAAGACATTTATTACAGTATTTATTACAGTAGATTTCTATTTCAAATAAATGCTGTTCTGTTGAACTTTCTATTCATCTGTGAATCCTGAAAAATAAAATGCATCACAGTTTCCAAAAAAATATTAATGTTTTCAACATTGATAATACTCAGAAATGTTTCTCGAGCAGCATATCAGAATGATTTCTGAAGATCATGTGACACTGAAGACTGGAGGAATGATGCTGAACATGAATAAACAGATATTCACATAGACGACTGTTATTATAAATTGTAATAATATTTCACTGCACTCTGTTCTGTTCAGTGCGTTCTCTTCTGTTGAATTCTGGATGATTCTGTGAGCTCTTCTCCAGTAAGCGCTGAATGTCGTGCACTTTCAGGGCTCTGATCATCCGTGGAGGAGAGATCATTCCCATGTCCAGCTCCTTCACTCCTGAATCGGAGCGCCAGAGACTTCAGTTCCTGGTGAGAGGAATCTGCATGCAGTTCTGTCAAGGTTTGCTTGCGTTCCTGCACGCTTGTGGATTTACACTGTTCTTCCTCTCTCAGGCTCACCTGCAGCCGTCTCTGCTGGGAAACGAGTTCACACACTTGGAGTTTCCCAGAAGGGTCACGAAAAAAGAGCTCGGGAAGCGGATGCTGTACCGAGACTTCACCATGAACGGATGGTGAGTTCCCCTTTCCGAGTAGAAGTCAGATCTTTGAATATCAGCATCAATTCATATTATTTTGCTCACTTAGGAAGACAATCAGAGTTCATTTAGTTTTTATGTGCCTTTATCACGATACCACAATAATAGACCGGAAACTCAAATAATTAATTATTAATCCAATAAAATGTAATAATTAATATCTATAATTACTATATTAATATAATAATTATTGATAAAAATAAAGTAATATATTATATATAATTAGGTTAATATTTATTAATTATTATTTTAGTCTAACAATTATTAATGACATAAAATTGTACCGAATATTAATCAATAAAATATTAATCAAATAAATTAAAACAAGTAATATCTATAATTATTGTATTAATATAATAATTAATAAGTATTGATACAATACATGTAATAATTATTATGTTATTATGTATTATTTATTATAGTAAAATAACAATTATTGCTGAAACTTAATACTTAATGTTATTAATTAATAAAATCATATAATTATTGTGGTAAACTTAGTGTGGTATTGTAAAAAAAGACTGGTTGGTCACAAACAATTAATATTTGTTAATTATTATTCAAATAAATATTGTTTACTGTTATTTTTCAATAGAATTAAATAAATATGATCTGTATATTTGTACAGAAATTGACTAAATGTATTGTGGTACTGTGAAAAACACGAAAAACAAAATTACATTGTTTAAATTGTTACAAAATAACAATTATATTTACATATTAAAACAATATATTATCATCATTTTCATTTTTTATTTTATTTATTAAGTAAAATAAAAATTAATATGATTAATCAATAAAATCGAATAATTATTATCTTGTATATTTGTACAGATGTCAACAAGAATTGTGTACATTTCAATTTATATATATATAATCCTTTGCACGATATTTTCCACAATACATTTTTGGAAATGTGTGTAGATATAATCATATTTTCTGTCTATCCACGAGTATGGACTTGTTATGTAATTTGCATCAAATGGTCAGTGAACAATTGTGCGTGATTCACCTTGAGTTCGACGCTAGGATCTGATTGGTTTGAATAAAGTGAGAGGATCATTGTGTGAGTGAGTGTGTGTGAGATTGTGTGTGTGTGTGCGTGTGTTTGTGTGTGTGTCCTCTGGGATGTAACTGAGCTCACAAGCTCATCAGAGATGCAGCGCTGCTCTGTCAGACAGGGATGCTGAATCGTGTGGGAGTGCTGCTGCATCCAGGAATCATATGCAGTATTTGATCATATGCGTTTAGTTGCTCGAATGTCTGAATTGATTAAAGAATAGTTCACCTAAAAATCATCTCAATGTCATTCCAAACCCAAATTACTCTGTAACTGCATGGACAAAAGTATTCAGTCAATGGAGACCCAATCTTTTAAGCTTCAAAAAGGATGCAAAAGCATCTTAACAGTTATCTATATATGACTCCTGCACTGTATTTCAAGTCTTCTGTATCCGTACAATAGATTTGAATGAGAAGCAGACTCAAATTTCCGGGCTTTGTGACCTTTGAAACAATGAAAAGATCTGACATAAAAGAATGATTCATTCACAAATTAGTCATTGCTTCGTCTCTTATGAACACTTTTGAAACTCAAAAGCTTTGGTGCATATTTATTGTAATTGTATGGAAAAGAGTGACCATACATTATTTAAATCTCTTATTTTGTGTTTCACTGAAGAAAGAAAGCAATTTGAAATTAATATTTATTTTTGGCAATATACGCAACAGTTTGAGGTTGGTACGATTTTAAATGTTCTTTTTTAAGTCTCTTTTGCTCACCAAGCCTGCATTTATTTGATCAAAAATGCAGTAAAATCAGAAAAATGTAGAAATATTATTACAATTTAAAATAGCTGTTTTCTATGTGAATATATATTAAACTGTAATTTATTTCTGTGATGCGCAGCTGTATTTTCAGCATAATTACTCCAGTCTTCAGTGTCACATGATCTTCAGAAATCATTCTAATATGCTGATTTGCTGCTCAAGAAATATTTCTGATTATCAATGTTGAAAACAGTTAATAGTTTTGTGAAAATCATGATGCATTTTATTTTTTATAATTCTTTGATGAATAGAAAGTTCAAAAGAACAATATTTATTTGAAATAGATATTTTTTTTGTAATTATAAATGTCTTCACTGACACTTTTGACCAATTTAATGCACCTTTTCTGAATAAAAATATAAATTTTCCTGCAAAAAACAACTTCCTGACTCCAAAAAGTCTCAGATGTGCTCTCTTCGCTTCAGCTTCAGCTGCTGTTTAATGTTTGCTGTGTTATTTTGCACAGGGCGTACAAAACAGTCCAGGAGGAAGATCTGAAGTTTCCACTCATATACGGAGAAGGAAAAAAGGTAAGACGGCAGTCAGACGCTTCACAGCTGACAGAAATCACAGCTCGCTCGTTCATGACTGTCGACGCGGTCACAGGAGGTCGTCTTACTGTTAATTACACGTCTTTAAACAAGTTTAGTGTCCTGTATGTCGTCTAGGTCAGCCTGTCTCTGTTTACCATCAATAACTGCTCTAAGACTTATTGTGCACAATTCATAACTGCACTTTATTGTAAAGAAAATAGTTTTCATAATCTTCCATTAAAATGTAACACCTTGCTCTGTGTTTGAGAAGACTTTCCTTTCCGGCTGATATTATCAAGACCAAACGCCTGTCAGTTCGCTCATGTGTTTGTGAATCACATTTTGTAGAGATTAGAGGCTATTTCAGTTGTTTTTCTCTTTAAGAAAGAATTAAAAGCTGAAAAACACTCTGGATTCCTCTGCCAGATTTGGAGAATAAACCATCATATTAGGGCTGCACGATAAATCGCATGCGATATTTAGTGCGCATCTTGTCAGAAAGCCGGTTCTGTAATCAGCGGTAAATCTCCATCACCTGCGTGCTTTCACATTGAGCAGCATTAACTACACAGAGCCGTTGTTCACTGACGAGCTGCGCAAAAAAAAGCGCGAATATGAACGTGGTTTGCACTGTGAGATTTCACGTCTGTTGTTTTTGTGTCAGTGAGACCAAGAGATTGCAGAAAGATGCATTATCATTTCTCACCGCAGAAATGGGTGATTAATTAATTAGTGGTGTTTGCTACGGTAAGTCACTCATCACTGAAGGTGTCATGTCAGTCTTATGCACACCCCTTCAAGTAAAGTGTTACCCTTAATACTAGTATTTAAAGAAATAATTCACCCAAAAATGAAATTTTCTGTGCTGAAATGTGCTCACCCTCAGGCCATCCTCAAGATGTAGATGAGTTTATTTCTTCATCAGATTTGGAGAAATGTTGCAGTGCATCACTGCAGTGTTAATTTTGACAGCAAATTTTGATTTAGTTTTAGTCATAGTCGTTTGACTAAAATTCCATTTAGTTTTAGTCACATTTTAGTCATCTGAATTGTTTTGAGTTTTAGTCCAGTTCTAGTCGACTAAATATCATAAGATTTTAATCGACTAAATCTACAGTATATTTAGTCGGCTAAAATCGAATGGGTTTAGTTACAGTGTAATGCATTTATTAAGCATTTCTCTAACATTTACGAAATCATTATATAGGTTTGATCGACAATTCGACATCATTTTGTGTGTAATTCTCCGTTCATGCGACTCGAAAGAGTACTCGCGCGCTGTGAGAGGCGCTTTCTGTGTGTGTACACTTCAGTGTCTGCGCTCAGAAGACCGGACCGAATTGAGTTCTCTCTTGCATCGTCAGATTTATCCATATGTCTGCTCTTCTCTTACTCCCACATATTGACATTTTTGAATGTTTTATGCGACGTGCAGCAAGTGTGTGTTAGCTTATGTCCCGCCGGTTCATATGTATGCATCTAACCTCCGAACCACGCAGAAGATTCGTTCTGAATGAATCTCTTCCTCTTTATTCGTTGACGAAAATGTCAATAGATCTTCATCATAGTTTTTGTCATTCAAAAAGAGTTTTAGTTCGTTATCGTCTCGTTGTCGTCAGTGAAAAAAATGTCGTTGACGAATAATTTTCATTTACACTGCATCAGTGTCTCAGCAATGGATGCTCTGCAATGAATGGGTGCCATCAGAATGAGCGTCCAAAAAGCTGATAAAAACATCACAATAATCCACAAGTAATCCACACCACTCCAGTCCATTAGTTAACATCTGGAGAAGATAAAAGCTGCGTGTTTATAAGAAACAAATCCATCATTGTGGCATTTTAACTTTAAGCCAAAATACGAGTCCATAATCCATAATAACGGAGAGAAATCTGCGCAGATCAAGCACTGTTTACAAGCTAAAACAGCTCTAAACAAATATGTGGCTGGATTTTGATGCGAGAGACAACAGGAGATGGACTTTTTCACTGGAGGAAGCGTTATTATGAATTATGGCCTGACCAGAAGTTATGGTTTGAAGTTAAAAACGCCTTAATGATGGATTTGTTTCTTTCTTGGAGTGGTGTGGATTATTGTGATGTTTTTATCAGCTGTTTGGACTCTCATTCTGACGGCAAGTGACGCAATGCTGCATTTCTGCAAATCTGATGAAAAAAACAAGCTCATCTACATCTTGGATGGCCTGAGGGCGAGTAAATTTTCAGAAAGTTGAATTTTTGGCTGAACTATTCCTTTCAGCCTCCAGCACTAGTATTAAATGTGAGCGTTCGTGCTCCAGTCGGGGTGTTAATGTGTTCAGTCTGTGGTGCTGAACTGAGATCAGTCTGTTGTGACGGCTGAAACCAGGAGGAGATCGGCCTCCAGTCTTCTTCAAGGAGGTCTCAGCTTCACAAGGCATCTGTTCTGAATCCCGATCCCATCTCGTCTCGTCTTGGACTCGATAACGCTCAGTTCTCTCCTCCGTCTGTGGGAGGCTAGAGGCTTCGGCGGGAGCAGATATCAAAAACGACTCTGCGGCGGCAGCACGAGGGAGTCTGAGGAAGCAGCTGGTTGAGGGCATGTGTATTATTAGTTGTTTTCAACCAGAGCCAGTGGCATTCTGTGGGGAAAAAAACTGCTCGCTCCCTCTGTACTAGAGGAAATTTGTTGGGAGGTTTGTTTTACATGACTCTTAAAAATGAAGGTTCTTTATTGGCGTCTCTGGTTCCATGACGATCCATGGAACCTTACGAGGTTCTTTAGAGTTTTAAAATGTTCTTCACACTGAAAGGTTCTTTGCAGAACCAAAAAAGGTGGTTCTATGGAATCACTGTGAAAACCCCCTTTTGGAACCAATTCACCCTTTCCTGGGAGTTTGATTGACAGGCGATCTGACCAATCATAATGGAGAGTAGATTAACGTCGGTGGACTTGAACTTGAAATATGGTTTATTGATGTCTTTCCGCAGTTGAAACAAGCGGTTCATTCATGTTTATTTTGTGCTATAACTAGTAGAAGAAGAGATGATCGGTTCACGTGCTGCAGCGATCTGTCACCACACATTAAACAGCCACAAAATGCAATTTATTAAAAAAAATGACCAAATTTGAAAGCTGAGACTTGTTTCATACCAAAAGTAACCTGCTCTGTTTGGTCTGTCATCAGTCTTCTCTTTTTTTTTTTTGCTGTGTGAGAACGTGTGCCGTGAGATAGCGCTGCACGATTATGACAAAAATCATAATTGTCGATTATTCCCTTGAAATTGTAATTATTATTAATTACGATAGTCACAATTTACATGGAAGGATGTCTATACCATTGTTTGATGCAACTGCATGCCATACTTTTATATGAAAATAAACAAGCTGAAAACCCTCTAACTGAAGAGTCTTTCTATAGCCTCAAATGTCAACTATACATTGGTATTGGATTGGTCTCTTTAAATTATAAAAAAGTAAAAAATGAATGCTATTATAATATTATACTAAAAACGCAAAAAAATGCATCTTAAGCATGCAGAATAACATAAGTGGACTTTGAACGATGTCGTAATTGTAATCGCGATTAGAAATTCGATTAATTGTGCAGCCCTAGCGTGAGAGCACCATGGCTTGTTGGACATAGCAACAGTAACTAAGGGGGGGCGGGTCTTTGCAAAGGGTCCATTGAATATTTAGTTTTACTAGGGAATGCATCACATTACAGAAGTTAACTGGGTTGGCCTAAGTTAACTGCTGTGTTTTGTGGCTCAGGCTCGTGTTTTGGCCACCATCGGCATCACTCGAGGACATAGCAACAGTAACTAAGGGGGGGCGGGTCTTTGCAAAGGGTCCATTGAATATTTAGTTTTACTAGGGAATGCATCACATTACAGAAGTAAACTGGGTTGGCCTAAGTTAACTGCTGTGTTTTGTGGCTCAGGCTCATGTTTTGGCCACCATCGGCATCACTCGAGGACTAGGCGATCACGACCTGAAGGTTCACGAATCAGACATCGCTATCAAACCATTCCTCTCCTGCTCTCCAGAGGTTTGTAGTTCATTTACACACATAACCACATGACTTCTTAATTAATTATTTGGCTAACAAAAAAGTACCATGGTATTACCATGTTTTTTGGACATGCACTAAAGCAATAAGCCCCAAGAAGCCGTGGTTTACAGTGAATTTATAACAGCTAAGGGGCGTTGTTAGGCACGATGGTGATCGACTAGGCTCTCACCGAACTGAGTAAAATCTAATTTTCAACACAGACGACTGAAAGAAACATAAAAGCTCGTCTGACTGAACGGAGCTCCACTTTAACAGTCTGAATGCCAGCTTCAGAGTAACTGCGTGTCATGAAAGCTGTCAAAGCACCAGGCTTCACTCATCCGATATCACTTGATAGAGCATATATATATATATATATATATATATAAAAAACATGGTAATGCCATGATACTATTGGTATAATGGTATTACACAAACAGAGATATATATATATATATATATATTCCACGGTGTTTTTGGAAAAGGTACCATGTTGTTGAACGTGTATCATAGTAATACCATGTTATTTTGTATATCATGATTTTTAAAGAAGATACCATGGTATTACCGTGTTATTTGGATATGGTACCATGGTATTACCGTGTGGACATTGTGTAAGTATTACCATGATATTGGACAGATTACCGTGGTATTACTGTGTTTCATATGGTATCATGGTGTTATCATGTTTTGTTGTTTGTTTGGAAAAGGAATGGTCAGACTTAGAAAATACAGTGGTAAACAATTATGGGATCGTTCTGTATCAGTGTCTACTGTATAACAAATTACTGTGGTATTACCATGGTACCACCACGGTACTTTTGTAAGGGTTTCTGGGTCAGAAATCAGGTCTGTTCTGCTTATTAGGAGTGTTACTTTGTAGAGTCATTTACAACAGCTTCGAACGCGGCTCAGCCAATCAGAATCAAGCACCGGAACTCTCCGCTTTATAATATGGTTTTTGAACATGTATCATGGTAATTTTATGTTTGTTGTTTTTTTTTTAACGAGACATTTTGGTGTGTGAACATTTACCCTGATATTACCATGTTGTTTTGTCACTGATCATCATGGTTTTAACATGGCACCATGGTATTATCATGGTTTTTGGAACATGCACCAAGAAAATGTCATGTTTTTTACCATGGTATTGCTGTATTTTTTTTCTTGATATATGGTACCATGGTATTACCATGGTGTGTGGCAGGGTTAATATTGTTAACTAAAACTAAAACATTAATAAAAAAAAATTTCATTACTTATAGGCATAAACTAAAATAATATAAAAAGCTAAACTAAACTTTCATTTAGTGTAAGTTGACGTATTCAAATAACTAAAACTAAAACTAAAAACAAAAACTTGACATTAAAAAACCCCAAAAATGAATAAAAATGACAAAAACACAAAATGACTGAAATTAAAATGAAAACAAAATATAAAATAAAATCTAATTCAAATGTTAACAAACACAATAGTATATAAGTGATACTAAAATAAAATAAAAACACTGAAGTGTGGAGATTTACCATGGTATTGGTGTGTTGTCTGGAAAAATACCATGGTATTACTATGATACACGTTCAACAACATGGTACCTTTTCCAGATTTTTAAAGAAGATACCATGGTATTACCGTGTTATTTGGATATGGTACCATGGTATTACCGTGTGGACATTGTGTAAGTATTACCATGATATTGGACAGATTACCGTGGTATTACTGTGTTTCATATGGTATCATGGTGTTATCATGTTTTGTTGTTTGTTTGGAAAAGGAATGGTCAGACTTAGAAAATACAGTGGTAAACAATTATGGGATCGTTCTGTATCAGTGTCTACTGTATAACAAATTACTGTGGTATTACCATGGTACCACCACGGTACTTTTGTAAGGGTTTCTGGGTCAGAAATCAGGTCTGTTCTGCTTATTGAAGTAACCATAAATGTGACCCTGGAGCACAAAAGCAGTGTTAAGTCGCTGGGGTATATTTGTAGCAATAGCCAACAATACATTGTATGGGTCAAAATGATAGATTTTTCTTTTATGCCAAAAATCATTAGGATATTAAGTAAAGATCATGTTCCATGAAGATATTTAGTAAATTTCCTACCGTAAATATATCAAAACTTAATTTTTGATTAGTAATATGCATTGCTAAGAACTTCATTTGGACAACTTTAAAGATGATTTTCTCAATATTTAGATATTTTTGCACCCTCAGATTCCAGATTTTCAAATAGTTGTATCTCAGACAAATATTGTCCTATCCTAACAAACCATACATCAATGGAAAACTTGTTTATTCAGCTTTCAGATGATATATAAATCTCAATTTCGAAAAATTGACCCTTATGACTGGTTTTGTGCTCCAGGGTCATAAATGTTATATAAGCGCAGATCTATTTCTATAATGTCCTGCACATCAACAGCATTAAATTGAATAGAGTCAAGTCTAAAAGCCACAGATTTTGCTCCAGTGCTTGTTTACCGTCTCGCTGCCTCTAAGACGGTTTGAATAAAGTCAGAATAAAGATTCCTCCAGTGACACGAGTCGCTCCGCTCTGGAATCTTCTGCAGCTCTCTTCATCTTTAATTCACACGCTGTGTAAAGTTCATCCACGGTTCAGCCCGCCAGCTGCAGCTCAGCCGAGTTTTTTCTGTTTTCTGGCTTCTCTTTGATCTGTTTTTCTTATTCCTCCTCCTCTGTGCACTTTTCCCCCGTTATGTGCTTGTGCAACGAGTATAAGTATGTCAGCTATGCATGCGGCTGGAGTCTGGCTGGGTTCAGTCACTCCTCATTTCTGTCTGTTACGCAAATACTGGGTCAGAGGTCGAGGAAGGGTCACCGAGGACAACCAGACACTTGCGTCAGATATGATTTCTATCTGTTTATCTATCTTTATATCTAATAATGTGTCTGTGTGTGTGTGTGTGTGTTATAGGGTATATCTTTTAGATAAAAGTATAGAGTAATTAAATAAAAAATATGAAAATATTAAATAAATATTTATGCATTATGCATTTCATTGACATTTTGAATAAAATTTATTAATATATAAACAATTTAATAAATTATTTCTGTATTATTATTATATTATTATTTATGTATCTGTCTATCTTTCTAATATATAATTATTATAAAATACATATATTCCAGATATGTATAGTTATGGTAATTGTAAAAAATAAAACTAAGACAACTAAATAAAATATGTATTTAAATACTGAATAAATGTGTTAATTTATACAAAAATTTAATTGTATATATTATTGTAAAATATCATCTATGTTACTATGTTGAATATGCAATTATGCTCATTTATATGT